AGCAAATAAACACATGAAAAAATGTTCAACATCACTGGTCATTTGAGAGATGCAAATGAAAACAAGGCTGAGATTCCACCTCACCCCACAAAGAATGGCTGCTGTCATGAAATCAACCAATAACAAATGCTGGTGGGGCTGTGAGGAAAAAGGAACCTTTCTCCATTGTTGGTGCGAGTGTAGACTGCTGTAATCACTGTGGAAATCAGTATGGAGATACCTCAAAGAACTAGGATTAGAGGTCCCATTTGCCCCAGCTATTGCCCTGCTGGGTATCTTCCCAAAAGAATTAAAAGAACCATGGGCCAGGGATTTAGGTCAATGGGGCTGCTGCCTACCTCTCAAGCGCAAGGTTCTGATTTTGATCCCCGGTACCAAAAGAATTAAAAGAATCATACCACAGCGATACATGTGCACCCACATTCATAGCGGCACAGTTTGTAATAGTTAAAACTTGGAAACAGCCCAGCTGCCCAACAACTGGAGAATGGATAAAGAAAATGTGTGGTTTTTTAATACGGAGTCCTACTCAGCCATAAAGAATGACAAACTAGAGACATTTACAGCTAAATGGATGCATATTGAGGCATTACTCTTAAATAAAATAAAAAGGACACACATGTATAGATACCAAGTAGTTTCTCTAGTGTGAGAAACTGAAAGTGTAAATAAGGATCAAAATGTATAATAGATAATGTGAAATAGGAAGAAAAGGGGCAAAGCGGAAGGGGAAGTAGGAGGGGTAGGAGAAAGGAAAGAAGGGAATGGAATTAATATGAGAAAATGGAAACAAAGTCTTTATAAGTAGGGAAGGGTGGAGGGGTAGAAGGGAGGGCAGGGGAATTGGGAAAAAAATAATAATCAAGATATATTATGTAAAGGTGCAAATTTCCAAGAATAAATGTCATTATACTGTATACCTAAAATGTACCAATAAAATTAATTTTAAAAACTATATAGTGATATAGAAAAAGTAACAAAATGCTGTAATGTGGCAGAACAAAACTAAACATATTAATAGAATCAATGAATGATATCAATAGTAGCAGTAAATGCAGATGGGCTTAATATTAAAATAAAAAGATTTTCATATTTGTTTACAAAAAAACTTTACAATATACTGTATATGAACAAGACCCATAAAGCAAACTGTTTCAAAAGGTAAAGACATATAAAGCAAACACAAGCAAAAAGAAAGCAAGAGTTGTGATACTGACATCTAAGAATCTGTTACACTCAAACTAAAAGGCATTAAATAAAAAACCTCAAAATGAAAATACAACCTAAATCCCATAGATCAGCTATGAACTTTTGAACTCCAATAATTTATTTCTTTGAAACATTTATAAAAGTCACAAAACCGTATATAAATTAAGCCACAAAGAAAACCTTAGAGTTCTATACAAAAGAAATATCACAAACAAAATTCTCAGGTAAGAATGCAAAAAAAAAAATAGAAATTAATAACAAAAAAGGTTCCTTTATCTTTTTACTCTCATTACAAAATAATCCTTATATCAAAGAAAAATCATAAACTAAAAACTGCAGAATTCTGAGAAAATAATGATGAATACAATATGCATCACAATCTATGGGATAAAATTAAAGCAATGATCAGAAGAAAATCCATATCCTGAAATACTAATAGCAATAGAATTTTAAAAATAAAAAGTAAATTAAACATCAAACTAAAAGTTATACAGAAGAAACAAATTAGCCAAAAGAAAACAGAAGTAAAAAAATAAAAACAAAAATTGGATTAGATGAAAGAAAAAAAATGAAATTGAAAGAAATGAAAAAAATGAAAGCAAAAAAGATTTGATCTATAGCTCAGGGGTACAGCACAGGCCTAGTACATGCAAGGCTCTAGGTTCAATCTCCAACTCCTCAAAAACAACAAAAAAAAGCAAACCTAGGAGACTCAGATAATTCATTGAGGAAAAAGAGAATGGGACAATTATATAAAATAAACAAAGTAAAAAACAAGTATAAAAAACTGGTGATTCAGTCAAATCATAACAAACTACTTTGTTCAATACCAACAAATATAAAAGTCTTTTAAAATGAGTAATTTCTGTAAAATGAGTAATTTTAAAGAAATAGGTAACTTTCTAATTCTTAGAGAAAGTGACTAAAACTCTCTCTTGTATGAGTTGAAAACTTAAACAGAGCTAACTTCCAGACAGGAAACTGATACCTTTTTCTAGAACTACTACCCAAATGATGAATCATACTGCCCGGAAGATCTTATAGAGGAAATAACCAAGCATTCACAGGCCAGAAAGCGCATTGTTACCTAAAGTATTCTAGGACAAAGACAAAGGAAGAAAATGGTATATTTTATAAAGTGAATATGACATAGTGTTATGGTTTGGGTCTAGACTTCCACTCAAAGCCTTGTATGGTCATAGGCGGGTCAATCTAGAGAGTGTGATGATGCTAGGATTAAGGGCATGTGATTACTAAACCACAAGAGTGACTGGTCTGGCACCTCCCTAATCCCGGTAACCTGAATAAGATAAAAGGAGCAGAAAGACAACGTTAAAGTCTCTTGTTCCTTTTGCTGTCTTCCGCTGCCATGAACTGTCTGCAATGTCCCTCTGCCTTGGAACCAGCTGATTATGGACTAAAACTTCTACAAACTGTGAGCTAAATAAACCCCTTCCCCTCTAACTTTGGGTGTCAAGTATATTGTCTCAGCAAGGAGAGAAAAGTAATTAACACACATAGATATCCAAGCAGGATAAATATATACAAAATGAGTAGCTAATCTCACAAGTATTAACATCATGATCAAGTGAGGTTTATTCCAGCAAACCTATGATCTAATTCACCACAAATAATAAATTTAAAGGAAAAAATAATAATAAATTTACTAGAAAGATCTGGAGATCACAATCTTCATAAATTCTAACTGGAATTACCAAGCAATGGCTCTCTTGATGGTTTCAGCATCATGTATGACGTATATTCTTACCATGAATGTTTAATTTTAATCTAATCAAACCTTTAGATCAAACTTTAAGTTTACAGAAATATATTACATAAATGAGTCAATTAAACAATTCCACGAGAAAACAATTTAGACAAAACTAGACAAGTGTTACATGAGATAAGCCAATATTATGAACAAAAAAAGTGAGGAGACTCTCCTAGACTAAAAGAAAATTTTAAAAATATAATAACATACATAAGCTTTGACTGCATTCTACTTCAAGAAGCAGCTGGGCCAGGGATTTAGCTCAGTGGTTTCGCTGCGGGCTGCGCAAGCCCAAGGACCCAAGTTCAATCCCTGGTACCAAAAAAAAAAAAAAAAAAAAAAAGAAGTCATAAGTCATTTTAGGCCTATGTGGACTAGATGGTATTACGGAATGTTAATTTTCTTATGTGTGATAATGGTGGTGTAGTTATATAGGAGAACAACCTTATTTTAGGAGGTGTGTGCTGAAGTATTTAGAAGTACAGTGTCATCATGTCCACAACATTCTTCCACACCAAAACACTATACATGCATACATACAAATACATTCACATACAAATACAGTAAAAGTGGCAAAATATTAACAACTCTTGACTCTAGTTGATGGTTAGAAAGGTGTCCATTTCAACAGTTTCTGTTATAAAGCAGGCATATAACTATAAAAATGTTTTCTTATACAAGTGCTAAAAATAAATAAATCATGGCAAACTTAAAGGATCTTTAAAGTTTCATATATAGTAGTGTATTTTTTGAACACGTATTTTCAAAAACAGTACTCAATTTACAATTGATCAGGAAGTTACAATCATCATTCTCTCATTATTTATGGGCAAAAAGCAGTAATACAACTGAACACATTAGATAACATTACTATGGGCCAGGCACTGTTCCATATTTTTTTACATATATTAATTCAATTATCTGAAAAATCTGAAAAATAATATCATTACTATTTCCACTTTTCAGGTAAGCAATAAACCACATAGGTGACACAGTGAGTGACATAGGCAAGCTTCAAACCAGCAGGTACAGCTCCTGGATCCACATTTATCTACCATGCTGTACTGTCTTCTCAGATGGAAAAAACTATGTTTGTCACATTATTAACTTGATTGTACAGAGGTTATAACATCTACCAGGTCTTTGAATTCAGTAATTCAATAATCCAAAAGTATCATGATAAATCCAACAGAGAAAATTTAGATAAGATTATGCAGTACTTATAAGAATACATTAAGAATGGCTTCAAATAGTTTAACTAGGGTACCTCATATGACTTATTCATACTCTTCTTAGGAGGCCCATAACTATTATGGCACTTTTATAAACTAAAGTTTCAATACATTACTCCATTTTGAATCTCTGGGACAAAGGTAGATAATTTCTCAACAATAAAAATAATCATTCATTGGATCACAAATTTTCTCATGCAAAAGATTCGACTTCAATTGTTTATCTAACTGAACAGTTTACATAATTTTACAACATTCTGTAGAAGTCATGTTCACATGGAAAATTTCAGCTTGATCATAGTAAAATTTTTTTTAATAACAAGATGGCTCAAAAATAATAATCAGTATAACAGACAATAGGCCTGAAGCAAAGTACAGATTTAGATGGTAATATAAAATTACTACTAATTTTCTTGTCAGCAGTATCATAGAACCCTCTAATTTTTCAGTAAATAGAAGTTAATAAGTAATGCTGCTTTCTAATATCTTTATATTTTTAGATTTAATAAATACAACTAATTCTGTAAAAATTTTAAGTAAATATCTGCAGAAATGAAAAAATGTCTGGAAATATTTCTCATTTTTATACTGCAATAAGTGATATGCCAAAACACACACAAAAAAAGTCTAGTTTCAGTGAGGGACAGGTAACCAGTTCTATTAAATATGTGGACATGTAAAATTTTACCTGCTTTTCCTTTCAATTAGAATGGCTATGTAAGATGCTGGTAAAGCGGCACCAAAGCCAGGAGTCCATGAGTAGAATCTTCCAAGGATCTTCCTGAAATTCAAATTTGGAATTTTTATGTGAAATTCCTAGTTAGCCATTTCAGTTATTACAAACAGAAGTATCCTTCTCAGACCATCCTCTATCCAAATGTCCCGCCTTAAATTCAATGTGCCCAAACCAAATTCATCTCTCTCCCACCAGTACCATCCAGGGCACATTGTAAGAATTCAGAAAGTACTAGCTGTTATTACATTTATTACTTTATTATTATTATTATTTTTAACACCTGCTATTCAACAAATATTTTTCCTTCTTTGCTTCTACAACCCTTGGTGACTTTTTCTTACAGTATTTAACTTAAGTATTTAGTATTTTAGTTTTAAGTGTGCATCATTTTTCATTTAGTAGAATATATTACTTGAAAGCAGAAACCTGGAGAGTACCGCAATATTATAATGATTATTAGCTGGTTGAATTTTATAAAGAAAAATGAATTGCAGATGTTAAGATTTTTTTTTCAGGGCCAGGAATGAAGCTCAGTGGCAAGCTCAAGGTCCTGAGTTCAATCTCTGGTAATGGGGGAAAATAAATTTTTCTTCATTTCTAAATAATATGTTCCTGACAAAAAGAGAAACGGCATGTAAAAATTATAAAAAATTATCTGGACAAAGTTGGTCAATTGCTAAATGAGGCATGACAGGAGAAAGAAGAAAGGAAGGGAGGAAGCGAGAATTAGAGATGAAATGATCTTTTTAATTGAAATTTAGATTTAAAACAATTAGAAAAAATATTGTGGATATTTTCTGCCTGTGAAGACGAGACAGTTTTCCCTCAAAAAAAGAACACATTTTTTTTTTCAGTTTCCAACATTGCTTTTATTCCAAGTAAACCTTTGTTTTAGGAAAATAAGAGTCCTGTATCCCCAAGGTTGATATATCTGATAAAACCTCTTTAAGCCTCAATATATTCTCAACATTTAAAATTAAAAAAAAGAATGAAGACATGCACCTTTCAGCATTTGAGGTCATCTTAATGTGAACTGCCTCCAACACAAATCAAATACTACAAATCACCCCTCAAAGTTTTCATCCAGGGTTGTCTTTTTTGAAACTGAATTCTTTTCCAGTTGATGAATATAGGGTTGCCTTTTTTGAAACTGAATTCTTTTCCAGTTGATGAATATTTCTCACAATAATAATTTGTTTTTACTTTGTTTCATTTCACAGTAAACTACTTGGAAAGAGAAGTGCTCTAACTTTTGACAGATATTTGGACCAGACGTAAGCTTTAGTTGGGGGCTGGAAAGCCAAAAATGAATATGTGAGAAGTGATCATTTTTCATTTTTCACTTGTTTTATCAAAATAATGGCTTCTTTATTTTACAAAAGGGGAAAATCATAGATGTCCCCCTCTTCTTTATTTTTAAGTGCAGAGTTAGGCTTTAAGACTAGAATAAAAAGGTGTTTTATGTCTTGGTTTTCTTTTAAAGTAAATTTAACTCATTCCTTGGAATAAAGAGATACTTGATAGAAAGGCTATGGTCTCGATTACATTTTCATGGTATTTCCACATGGTTGCCTCCAACTCACCCCTGTTTGGAAAAATTATGAAATACATTGAAGAGAATTGAAAACATTACTGGATATTTTAAATAGAAAATAAGATGTTGTCTAATGTGCCCTTCCAATTCTTTGGTGTCTCTATATCTTTTTTTTTTTTTTTGTATATCCTTTTATTGGTACATTTTAGGTTGAATGTAAAATAAAGGAAAAGGACTCATTGAATCAGTAATAGGAAGACACTGATATTGCCTAATTTTCAATATTTTATGCTTCCACAATTAACAAACAGGTTCATAGAACATAAAGAAATATGCTACACAATAGCAATTTATATTTAGCACAATTTTTTAAAAACCATATTATTTGTAAACATATTTTTAGAGTTTTAATATGTCTTAGAAACTTTCTAGAGATGACATGATAGTCACTTCCAAATTTTCAAGTAAACTTCATTACATGATATGCTCAACCATACAGAACCTGATCAGCTATTTTTTAGATATCATAAGCTTATAAATATTAATACTCTCAGCAGAAAAGTATATAAAATATATTTTTAATTACATGTTTAAATGTAGTTTAAATACTGTATATAGAATTACTTTAGACAACAACTATGAAGATAATGTGAAATGAATATTTTAATTTGATGCTATTTAAAAGTTATTTTCAACAACCAGTGGAAAAAAGACAAAAAGTAAGTATATAATAAATATGTTAGGTTTCTCACAGCACTCCAAAGACTGAATTCTATCTTCACTTACAATGTGTAAAGGCAAGTGTATAGGTAATGAATACAAGATTGAATCAGAACTAAATGTTCCAATAGTAGGATATACTACTAATTGTATTTGTTTGATACATAAATAAATGCACTTTATAGTCCTTCTGCGTTCTGTTCACTGCACATAGCTCTCTGTCATAGAGTTGTTTTGAATTTCTAATCTATACAATTGAAAAGCAAGAAATCTTTACCAACAACTCTTGAAATACAGCAGGCCTCAGAAAAATATATGATACATTAAAGTAGTTTTGCTATATAATCATATCAATAATTTGAAATTTATATTACATCTTGAGCCACAGGGGCCCACAGCCCTGTTTTTATAAATTTTGGGATAAATGTCATTTCATAGATTTAAAATAGAAATAGTGGCAGTGACCTCCACAACAATTATGTAAAAATCTATTTGTTTCCACTTTAACAAAGAAATCTGTATTAATTTCTTTAATGATTTATTTAATGTATTAAGTTTTTTAATGGTGATTATGAGTACCAACCTGAGAAGGCAAAAGAAAGCAATATAGAAGGCCCCATTAGCAGTCAGAAATGAAGCAGATTGTAGGATCTCAGGGAGTAGTTTGTATAAATAATAGTCAATTTTTCGTTTCCGGAGAATTGCTGCAATCTGGAAAGAAAAAGGCTTTTCTGTTTAATTCAATCAAATGTTCCCACTTAATTTAGCTCTTACATGGAAACTACTGAATAAAAGCATATATTGCAAAATAAAAATAAAAACTATGACATTTTACTGGCTCCTGTATAAAAATATAATTTCCAGGACAGAAAATAAGGCACTTCAATTTACTGAGGCTAAAATAAGTAAGGAAGAAGATAATGTGGAGCTTACTCATCATATGACCACACTGTAGTTTTGTATTTTGTAACTTTGTATTTGTAATGCCTTAAAAAGTTTTAAACTGAAAAATGAAACATGCTTTTAAATGGAAAAAACAATTATAATTCAAATAAAAATGGATACTATAACAAAACTACATCACAGATTTTATCAGCCTACTATTCATTATTGGAGAATCTCAGTGATAAAAACCAAAAAAAAAAATTTTTTAATTTCAATTATTCAAACATGACTACTGTGAGACCAAAAAACAAAACAAACCAAAAACACTAAGAATACAAAAGTAACAAACAGAATTAATGATTTCTAGCCTTATGGACCCCATAAGAAGGAAAAAAAATCTAAATAAAAAAAAAATTAATAATTAATAATAATAATAGTAGTGGTAGTAGTAGTAGTAGTAGTACAGGTAAGTAGCATGTGCTATACTGAAACAGGTACAAGTTCCTAGATAATAGATTACAAAACTCTATGCCAGGAACTTTTTACTTAAAAAAAAAAAATCAACCTAAATCAGTCCACGACAGCTTTTGAATTTCAATTGAAAAACATTTTTGTGGACATCTAGATTAAAGTTACAATTAAATTTAAAAGGTGAACATCTAGACTAAAACAAAACCTAGGAAGTTCTGACATAATTTAATTAATAGTACATAAAAATCAAGACATGATATCTAATTACTTATTGAGCACACTTAATAGTATAAAAAATAAAATAGAAAACTAATATTCTCAAGATATGGGTCCAGATAGTTAAGAATAATTAAATATTAATAACAATACATAGTGTCGTGGAAGTTTAGCCCACTGAGGTTATTATAGGGTTAGAAGTTTCATGGAAAAGGGGATATGATCTCAATTTGGATGAACAGTGGAATCCTTACAGGTCATGGGAAAGAAGATTTTCCACCATGATGAAACAGTTATGAAAGGAGTAAAGGTTAGAATAACATAATTAGAGAATGAAGAAGGTACATTGGTACCTTGGTTCACAAACTTAATGCTTTCCACAAATCTGAAACAAATTCTGCGACCACTCATGGAAAGCATTAAGTTCTTGAACCAAGGGACCACTGTATAAGAAACTTCAAAACTGACAAGAAAAGCAAGGCTATAAAACTCTCCATTAACTCCCCATCTTTCAATAGATAGTAATTTCCCTAAAACCTCAGTAATCAAATCTAAGAGCCTTGTCTAAGTTCTTCTCACTCCACTTTAAAGCCTCTGAAAATGACCACCTCTTATTTCAATTCAACTGTCATACAGAGGAAAAACAATGACGAATAATACCTAATCTTTGGCTTCAAGGAAGATAAAATCTTTAGTTTTTTGAGACAGGGTCTCCACTGTGTAGTTCAGGCTGTTCCTGAACTCATTATGCAGTCCAGGCTGGCCTTGAACTCCTAGCTCAGCCTCTCTGAGTGCTGGGAGTGCCCTGAGAGCCACCATGCCTGGCAAGGAAGAAATAATCTTGATAAGGGATAAACACAAATAAGAAAGTACAATATGGCAATGTGGTGAATGCTAAACTACCAAAAGAAGAAACTGCTATGGAAACACATAGAAGGAAATGGCTAAAGTGAGATGGGAAAGGGCAGGCAGTGATGGAGGACATATCTGAATTTTCTGAGATAGATCCTGATAGGCAGAAGTCTGAGGACAGAAGTTTCTATGGTTTGTGTGACAGTGCACTCTTTTCATTCTACTATATTTTTAAATCCTATTCCTTTTTTAGCAATTTGCCATCATATCTCTACTTATTCTAAAAGCACCCTCTTCGATAACATCATCCATCATCTGATCCCCAAATACTAAATTCATACTTCAAATGTCTATCGGGCATGTCAACCCAGATGTTCTATAAACACCAAAAGAATCATACGTCCAAAGTACAACTCACTGTATTTCCCAAATATGATTTTACTTCTGTGTTCCCTACTTCAAGTGCAACAACATATCCACCCAATCGGGAATAAGATGCTATCATTTTTAATTCCTCCCTGGTCTTCAGTCACTTATCCCATTAGTTCCTACTATCTTCAGGATTTGGAATGTAACAGATATGTGAAAAATGAAACCCTTCTACACTGGTGGTGGAAATGTAAACTAGTTGAACTGTTATGAAAATAGTATAGAAATTCCTCAAAAAAACAAAAATAGAAATTCCATTTGACCTAGCTATACCTCTTCTGTGTACGTATCTTCCTGAAAAAGTTAAAGACATAATATTACAGTAATACATACATCCCCATGTTTATAGCAGTACAACTCATAATAGCTAAATTAGGAAGTAGCCTATATGCCCACCAACAGATGAGTAAAGATAATTTATACACACAGATGAGTAAAGATAATATATGTACACATGTAGTGATTCTCGGCCACAAAGAAGGGTAAGTTTGAGTCAATGCCCCTTGAGACCATAATGCTAAGTGAAATAAATCAGATACACAAGCATAAATATCACATGGTTTTTCTTATAAGTGAAACCAAAATATAAATAACTTAAGGAGTAAAACAATGTAGAAGGTAGGAAAGAGAGAGACTTTGTGGAGATGGGAAGGGATTTGGAAATGGGAGAAGACGGAAGGGAGGGAAGAGAAGGAGGAAATAAAAAAGAAGCTGCTATAGGGCCAGAGATTTAGCTCAGTGGTTCCAGTGCCTGCCTCACAAGCACAAGGTCCCGAGTTTGATTCCCA